CAGGGGAGTTAGTAAGTCGGTTATAAGTAGGGTTATACTTGCGTTAGCTCCCTCTAGGGTACTTATAACTCTACTTATAACCTACTTACTAAGTCCCCTGGGCCTCCAAGTAGGGTTTAGGAAGAATCTTTAGCCGTTGAGACTCCTTCTGGCTCTTCTGCTTTGGGCTTGGACAGAACCTTAGGACCGTAATGTTATTGGTTTACTTGGGGCTTCTATTAAATTATTCTAGGGTCTACAAGACTTAACATGTCATGAATTTCAGAAAGGGATCTGAAAGGCATGAGGGGGAGTTTAGGGTTAAGGGTAGGGATGAGGGGGAGTTCCGTAGATTGTAAAGGCTATGTTTAGGATCCAACAAGGTACTCCCACAAAGGATATATTTAGGATCCAATAAGGTAATCCCCAATAAGGAGATACTATGGAGCCGCGGTGAAGAGCCTAGAGCCGGTCGGGTTTAACCAGGGCGCAACAAACATGGTGAAGCCTAAACTGGGTTCTTGCTGAGGGTTTATGGTTTACGGAAGGGCTTTGGGGTTTAGGGTTTAGGGTTTAGATTTAGGGTTTAGATTTAGGGTTTAGAGGCTTAGGGTTTAGGGTGTAGGGTTTAGGGGTTTAGGGCTTAGGTAGGGCTTAAGGGGTTTCAAATTCAAGTTACCATAAATAGGGATCTACAGTACATACTATGGTTCCTTATTATGGTAACTTAAATTAAATTAAATCCCTTAACAAGAGCCCAGCAAAGTCCTGAAGCGTCGTAGCTCCCGTACAGGACTTCGAAGCCTAAAGAGCCCTTTCAACCTCTCAAAACCCTAAGCTTTACCCTAAACCCTAAACCCTAAACCCCTAAACCCGAAGCTTATAAGCTTAAGCCCCAAGCCCAGAGAGCAGCCCTATGGTATACCCTAACCCCTACCCTTAGCATCAAAATAGCCCCCCAAAAGCCTTATATAATAGGGTCATTGGGTCCAAACGCCTTAAACATATGAGTCCTTTTGAGGGTAAGGGTTAAACAAAAACTAAACTCTAAACCTTAAGCCCTAAACCCAAATTTAACCCTAAACCCTAAACCCCTAAACCCTATAAACCCTATAAGCCCTAAAACCCTATAAACCCTATATATATATATATATAAACCCTATAAACCCTAAACAAGTCGGTCGGCAGGCGAAGTTTCCAAGCGAAGCTGGCCTCTTCACCAGCTCCGCGCCAGGAGCCGGCATCCGGGCAATCAGGGATGATAGGGATTATAAGGATTAGGGTTTAGGGTTTAGGGCTTAAGGGTTTTAGGGTTTTAGGGGTCCAGGGTTTAGGGTATAGGGGTTCAGGGGTTTAGGAGTTTAGGGGCTTCAGGACATGGCGAGGGTTGAGTTCCCTTAAAGGGCTACTTAGTAGCTGAATTACTACACTTTAAACTTTTTGGGATAGTATGATACCTTATAGAACCGAAAGTCTGCACGTTTTTGTGCTTATGAACTCAGCCACTAAGGCTACGGTATGTATGGACATCACAGGGGGTTCTGCCCTAAACCTTAAACCCAAACATTTTCGGGTATCTTGTAGCGATTATGTGATTGGGGGCTTGGGGATCCCAATAGGGCGATTTGTTAGGGTTTAGGGATTGGGGTGTTATAGGGGGGACTTTGCCTTTGGGGTTACAGGGATTTCAGAGGTTATAGGGTTGAAAGGAATTTAGGTTTAGGTTGAGGGGGTTGAGACTTGTACCGTCATGAAGCCTGGATATAACGTCACCGCACTAAGGGCTTTACGCCCTAGTTACTAGTTACAGCAATCGTGCAGACACATCCTGCGAGAGTGAGCCTACCACTCATGAATCCGTCCATCCCTATCAGCCATGCTCATTCCGGTGAAGGCCAGTAGAAATCTGGAAAGCAGCCCTACACCGTATTTTGACTCCCGAATATCGCGGCTTGACGAACTAGTAAGACTATTCCGTAGGGATTCCATATTACATAGCTATATGTTATATGTACTGAAGACTATTGCATAACTATGGTATAACATCAGACATCCTCCAAAAGGGATTCCTAGCAGAACCACAGTACAACATACCCCCAAAGTCCCGTTTCGAAGTTTATGGTATAAATCCTGCAGTACCTTAGGGGCCCTAAACTATGGGAACCATGGTATCTTCCTTATTATGGGGTCATGCAGGATTTCGATCATCAACCGTAGGTAACCTTGGGCAGCTACCCATAGTCTCCTAAGTAGTTCCTTTTTGGGATTACCTTATAGGATTCTAAATATAAGCCATAAGAAGGAACTACTTAGGGGCCTATGGGTACGCCCGCAACCGAACCCCAGTCTTTAAGTTCTCGAAGCCTCGAAGCCCGAAAGCCAGAATGCTTGGGTCGTCAATCTCGATGTTTGCTTGCTCAGCTCTCTACCCAAAACCTTAATTGAACCTCAACCTCAAAACTCGGACCCTAACCCCTACACCCATTTTTTTGATTTCTGGTTTAGCTTCCTACACAGCTGGAGTGTGGCCGGTCCTTGTGTTGGAGTCGTACAGAGTGCGTGTATATTCATGACGACCCGCCTTTTCGCGTCATGCCCGTCGCACGCCAATCAAAGCTCCTGAATGTATGTAATGGTATACGGCCGGAGGACAGTTTCCTGCCACACAGGTAACCAGACTTCTTGGCCAACGCTCAAGACCATGTGCACCCGGTCATTTTCCGCGACAGCGCGCGTGAAGAGGACCCGCAATATTCCACCAAGCGACATCATCCAGCAGCTGCTGAAGCTGCATCCAAAAGACTCGCTGGAAGGTGTACAACTGGTTCTGGCCCAACATCGACTAGATCACAAAGCGGTCCGCTGCACGATGCAAGAACTCAAGGCTCAAAAACGCTTCGACCTGGTTGGCATACTGTTTTCAGAGACGCTCAAGCACGGTGGTGCAAAGGTAGGTTTAAAAGAGTTCACTGCGGGTATCAGTGCCTGTGCAAGGGCGCAAACCTGGCAGCTGGCCGTGCATCTTTTCAACAGTATGCGCAAAGCCAAGGTGGTCGCGAATGTTTTCAGCTACAATTCCACCATCAGTGCTTGTGAAAAGGGTGGGCAGTGGCAGCTAGCTATGCAGCTGCTCGATAGCATGAGAACAGCCACGATATGCGCCGATGTCATCAGCTACAGCGCCACCATCAGCGCTTGCGAGAAGGGTGGGCAGTGGCAGGTTGCGATGCATCTGTTCGACAGCATGCACAAAGTCCAGGTGGATGCCGATGTCATCAGCTACAATGCCACCATCAGTGCTTGTGAGAAGGGTGGGCAGTGGCAGCGGGCCGTGCACCTGTTTGAGAGCGCTCACAAAACCAAGATTCATGCCGACGTCGTCAGCTACAACGCCACGATCAGCGCTTGTGAGAAGGGTGGGCAGTGGCAGCTGGCCGTGCATCTGTTCGACAACATGCACAAAGCCAAGGTGAATGCCACTGTGATCAGCTATAGTTCCACCATCAGCGCGTGTGAGAAGATTGGGCAGTGGCAACTGGCGGTGCACCTGTTCGACAGAATGCGCAAAGCGCAGGTGGATGCCGATGCCATCAGCTACAGCGCCACTATCAGCGCTTGTGAGAAGGGTGGGCAGTGGCAAATGGCGGTGCATCTTTTTGAACGCATGCGGAAAACTAAGATGCACACCCATGACATCAGCTGCAAGGAGAGCAGTAACAGCTAGCCATGAACAGATAGTTCAAGCAAACGTGGATTCCAGCTTCATCAGCTAAGATTCCACGAGCAGTGCTCGTCAGCCCATTCAGCTGATCAAGAGCAAGTACAACACCAACATGGACATGGATGCCGATGCCATCAAGTACAGCTACAACTTCAATGCAGTGTTGGACCGCGACATGTAGCCTTTAAAGACACGCCGTCGTGGACACAACCTCGACAGGCATCTTGTTCAAGAAGAACCCTTCCACTCCTGACTTGCATGACAGTGTCTGCCGCTGCCGGATGGCTGTGAGGTGGTGGTTGCTGGAAGCTAAACTCCTAAACACCTAAACCCCTCAACCCTAAAACCCTAAGCTCTAAACCCCAAGCTTTAAATCCCCTAAAACCCTAAAGCCCTGAACCTCAACCTGCCGGCTCTCTTTCGAGGAAGCATCAGTCCTGGGGCTTCTCGACAGAGAGCTGGCAGGTTGAGGTCGAGGGCTTTAGGGCTTTAGGGTTTTAACCCTAAGGCTCCAAAGACTCATATGCTTTTGGGCCCAAAGACCATACTATATCAGGCTTTTGGGCTATTTTGAGCCTTAGGCCTTAGGGTAAACCCTAAACCCTAAACCCCTAAACTCTATATAAACGCTTAACCATTTCAGCCCTAAACTCACCACCTGTAGCTTCCTTTCAAATCTCTGTAATCACCTACAAACCCCTAAAGCCTAAACCCTAAACCCTTTTGGGCTATATTGGATTACATATATAATCACCGTACGATTCATGTACCTGGTGCTGTAGGGTAGTGCATGGGTAGCTCCGAGCGCAGAGAAGGCACAGCTCCTCGTCTCAGAGTGGAAACTTGGGTGGGACACCTTAGGGTTTAGGGTTTAGGGGTTTAGGGTTTATGGGTTTAGGGGTTTAGGGGTTTAGGGGTTTAGGGTTTAGGGGTTTGGGGGTTTGGGGGTTTAGGGTTTAGGATATGCTACCCACTTGGAGGCCCAGGGGACTTAGTAAGTCGGTTTAGGGGTTGAGGGTTTAGGGTTTCGGGGTTTAGGGGTTGAGGGTTTAGGGTTTAGGGTACTTCGAGGCCCAGGGGACTTAGTAAGTCGGTTATAAGTAGGGGTTATAATTGGTTTAACTCCATTTGGGGTACTTATAACTCTATTTACAACCTCCTTACTAAGTCCCCTGGGCCCCCAAGTGGGTAGGATATCCTAAACCCCAAGCCCTAAACTGTGGCTTACTTGGGGAGTAGGTCATGGGGTATCTCAACTGTTTATGCCAAAAGGTTTGAGATTCTAGGCGTTGATAGTCTATCTTTTTTTTCTAGAAGTTTCGATAAAGATCGAACATGTTCCTCCTTACTCTGTCTATACTCCGATATGCCCTTCAAAGTGTGCACCTGCGTGATCGCAACCTGTGCAGCACCAGGTGCACTGCTCTCTGTTCCGATACATATGGTTGAGCATATGTATGTATATATATATATTTGTAGAAAAACACTTGATACATAGACATACACACTATCACACACATTTCCAAAGTGTAACAACCACCATACTCATAACAGTCGTTGTGTATTTGGCGAAGATTTGCAGGGGTAGTCTGTGAGTCAACAGTTGTGTCGAAACAAGATCAACTTCTGCACAACTTAAAATATGTAACTTGACACGACCGCGCAAGTCCGGAACCCACCACAAGCTTTTGATGGCAAACCCCTTCTCAGCACCCCCCAAAAAAATCGCAAGACCCGAGAACTATAACACTAAAACACTCAAGTCCTAAAGCCCTAAACCCTAAAGCCCTTAAAGCATTTAACAACCCTATAGAGCCAATATAAGCCGTGTGAAGCCCTTCTAAAGCACTTGTAGAGCTCTTACAAAGACCCTATAAGCCCTTAACTTATAACCCAAACTAAGGGTGCAGGCCTTCAGGGGCTTAGCGGTTTTGGGAATTAGGGGGTCAGGGTTTTAAGGTTGTAGGGTTTTAGGGCTTTAGGGTTTTAAGGGTTACATAACCCGAAACCATAAACCCAAACCCCAAAAAACCCTGGAGGAGCGTTGGATTCGATGCTCTGAAATCTGATTCATGAGCCATGCTCGACTGCCCCAGCACGACCGGAGCATGATCTCCCTTTCGGAAAGCCCTCACAAGTAGCGCTAGGCTTCTCACGTGTCGTTTTTAAGCTCCCCTAAACCCCTAAACCCTAAACCTCAGTGTGTTAAGTTCCGTGCTGTTCTTGTTCGTCGGGCCAGAGGGGATGGAAGATCTCGGATGCAGTGAACGTTGAACGCGGATCCTTCTACTTGCTTGGAGACCCAGGGGATTTAGTAAGTCGGTTAGAAGTAGGTTAAACTCCATTTAGGGTACTCATAACTCTACTTATAACCCTAAACTCCTAAACCCTAAACCCTAAAGCTTATAACCCTACTTACTAAGTTCCCTGGGCCTCCAAGTTGGAGCCGGAAGATCTTGGTCTGTGCGCACAGCCAAAGGAAAGAAGGACCCAGAGGTTAGGCTGACTGGTTCTTAGTAGGGAATGGGGGATTGGGATTTTGGGACTACTATAGGGGACCTCAAGGGACTATCATAGGGATCCATTCCCCCATTCCCCCTAAACCCTAAACCCTAAACTCCTAAACCCTAAACCCTAAACTCTAAACCTTAAACCCTAAGGGCTTCGGATGTAGAGGACTTGGGCTTTGTGGTTAGGGGCCCTTCACCCACTTATACTTTGAGTTTAGGGCTTAGGGCTTCGGATTTAGAG